CCCAGATCACCCGCAACCGACATAGGCTATCACCAGGCGTAAATGTTTTCACAAATCCTCCCTGAATGAACTAATCTGGAAACGTCTGTATCATCCTTTAGGTTAATAATTATGATGGCATGAATTTTATGAATTCGCCTGTTTTTTGCAGAGCACAGTTTCCTGGTTGGAAGTTCCCGAAGACGAAATGTCATCCGAAAAATGTCGCATGTAGAATGTCACTGCAGCAGCTGAACGAAGAGTTGTAGACGAAATCTAAAGAGTTTACGATGTCCTGAAATCCGAATCTTCACAGATTTGCTTTTCATTGTAGATAAAATTGTCTAACATTGGAGTTTTGTTCATGATTTTGTGGTTAGGCCGTGTTCACAGGGAAGGAAAGTACAACGGTAGAGGTTGCGCAGGCCTGTTACTGATCTGTAGCGGTATTGAAAGACTTGGCGAACACTTGGGCTATCATATTTGTTGACATAGACATATAAATTAGATAAGGAGTAAAAAAAAGGGGGGGGGGGCAGCCGAGGGAGCGAGCAGTAGAGAGACGACCGGTTGTTCCACTTACTATCCTCCGTTGGTGGCGTATTAGCGGGTGCCGCGGTAGGTGACACCCGCGCTGCAACCGGCAAACGTTCGAGGATGCGACAAAAGGAAGGAATGAGGAGGAAGAAAGAAGGAGAAGGAAGGCTTTGCGTTCAACAGATATCCTGATAGCGCTTGCGGGGCTGATGCAGATGTGCAGTCTAGTGGTTCCACCCTGCCACCAACTAATTTTATAAGGGCCAAGGTAGTAACTGAGAGCCAATAACACCCCTTCCCTCTAAGGAGTAGACGGAGCAATTGAACATGGCTCAAAAAGGGTTACTCGTGGGATATTCAGTTTGGGACAACTGTCATCTTGTACTGTGTTGGACAAAGACAAGACTACAATTGTGCCGAAATGAAAATATCGCACAGGGCACATCATTGGTTGAGGATTTTAGTCGAGTCTGTACGACCCCCCCTCCCCTTTTTTGGGGCTTGGTACTACCCCCCCCCCCCTCCGGCCCTCTGTCCCTCCTCATCGAAAAACAGGTAAAGCCGCGAGACAATACGACCTCCCCCTTCTACCTCTACCAATTACCAATCCAAAATTTCCTGAAAAGTTCCCTACCCCTACTTTTCCCCAAAAATTTTGTTGTCGAGCGGAGAGGGGGGGGAGGTATACAGTACGCATGAAACAGGAAAATCACAAAAAGTCAATCACCGCTCCTACAACGCCAAAATAAATACAACACCCCCCCCCCCCCCCCTCCCAACAATGACCAAGTACGACCCCCCCTTTACAACGTCCATGAAGCGAGAAAAATCAACTATCAAAATAAATTTTTCTCAGCCCAAATACGACCCCCTCCCTGGCGGCCAAATACGACCCCCCTGTTGGGGACTTCCCCAACAACGATGTGCCCTGATATCGCATCAAAAGCACAGCCACTGAAACGTCCAGTTAAAGTGCAAGCCACGCCTAGCCACGGTACAACATCTTGTGTGAAGCTAGGGGGGGGGGGGGGTCGTACCTGGCCGCTGGGGAAGAGAAGGTCGTATTTGGGTAAAAAATCCTAAGAACAATTTTTTTTTACCTCTGTTGACTTTTCGCGGTTTTTCATGTTTCACATTCGCCATACACCCCTGCCCCCTCGTACGATGGAAGTTTTCGGGTGAAATACTGGAAACTGTGAGAAATTTCGGAAAACCGGTAGGAAGCTGGGATCTTGTAAGACAGTAATAGGTGTTAGGGAAGTGAGGGGGGTCGTACTGACGCCACCATTTCACACATCACGATGCAGCACCCTGCGCCTAGCTCATCGTAGGGATTCCGAGTGTAAACCCGTGAAGGTTGGCTTCGCTGTTCCTGCATCTCAACTTGGCCACCTCTCACCGCTCAATAGGAAAAATCCTGTTAATTTGAGTTCAAGAGGGGTCTTCTTACTTAAAAGATGACTTGCTTGACAACTTATAACTTTTCAGGTGCAATATGATCGCGTTAAATGACATAAACCCGCCGCAAATCGACCAGGCTCAAATCGTGGACGAGTTGCGCGACGCGTTAGCGGAGATCATCCGCCGCGCGCGGCAGTGTGATCGATGTGCGTGTCATCGTCGGGAGGCGGTGGCAGTTCCGACTGGTCATCCTCCTCCGTCTCTCTTCCATGTCTCATGGTCGGGCATACTCTCTCTCAATCGTCGTCGTCATTCCTCCCGTTCTATCGTGTTCGCTCGTCGACCGGGGGGCTCGACGACCCTGTCGTTCATCCCCTCCTCGCTCTACGCGATCTCTCGTCTTCACGGGGCCCGATAAGAGTGCTGTTTGGAAGGAAGAGAATAGGAAAGAAAGAGAGAGAGGGAGAGGAAGTGGGAGCGGTTCGAATCGATCGTCGTCTCGCGCCTTCCTGTACCTGTATCCGTACAGAACACCACTTGGTTCCACTCACATGAAAGGTTCGTTTTGTCATTATTTCTACAGTTTTTGAGTTTTTGAGAATTGCTCAACACTTGGATTTAATTCAGTTCTAATAGAGGAGCTCTGAGCAGATTTTGCGAAAAACCATCAATTTTAAAATTAACGAACTACAGATCT